AGTGCATATACAACCCGCAATTTGGGAAATATTTTAAATATAAAATAATTTTATAAAAATCACACTTAAAGAATCTCAGCCAAGATTTTGAATACTAAAATGATCAACTGAGATTTTCAAATAAAATGAACTAAACCCCAAAATTTAGGGCAATATTTAATGTTGTCTAATTTTTAATTTAAAAAAAAAATAAAAAAAAAAATATTATTTTGGGTTGCATAAAATTTTGGCTGTTTTTTAGGCTACTATATTTGGTAAATGTTTATAACTTTTATATATATATAAAATAATGTTCTCCTACCCACGGTGGACACATGTTAACATGTCCACCGTTTATGTGGCATGCACACATTAGTGATGTATTTTTTTACACATCACCAATGTGTGCATGCCACATAAGCAGTGGGCATATTAACATATGTCCACCCTGAGTAGGTGAGCATTACTATATATATATATATATATAATAATAGTTTTATAAATGTAAATTATACATTCAACTAATCAAATATTGTGAAATTCACAAAGTTATCCTCCAAATATTGTAGAGATTTTATTATGTTATATTTATATTTTCGAGTCCACCGCATGCATAATTGATTTGGTACCACTCTTATGAAGTGAATCTTGAAAAACGCATGGTGTGTATCACTATGGATAATTCGATCTTGCCTCCACGGGTTTTTCCACGTTGATTTATACATACAATTATTGTGTGTGAAGTCGGTGGTGGAAAAACACACAAATTTGTTTTTTCATTAACTTTATATTCCTACATCTTAATAAAAGGAAGTTATGGACGGTAGATTCATTACACGCGACCACCTTATCTTTCTCCTGTGGCTATATGACCAGGGCCGTCTCTAGAAATTTGAAGGCCCCAGACAAATTTTTAAAAGTGGCCCGTAATCGTATTTGTATAATTTTAAAATTTTTAATTGAACAAATAAAATTAAACATTGTCAATAATAAATACGAAAATACAATGAACATGAGAAACAAAAATAAACTAAAATAACAAAAGTTTACAACTTTCTCGTGCTCTTTTGTATAAAAATTTACGATCAAAACTACTTTGTTTTTCGCATTCGTCAAACATCGTTTGTAGCGTTTATTATTGAAACTTTTACCTTTATCGTTACTAGAATACACGACATTAGTAACTCTAATCACCATTTCTCGACTAAAAAAATACTTTGAGGCATATTATCCTCCCAATATCCAGAATCCAACAAGTCATCCAAATTTTCACAATTTATAGATTATCATTTATATTTTTGATATCATTTACATTCTCTAACTTATGATTTTCTTCTTAAAAAACTTCAACCCCTTTATTATTATCATTTATATGAATTTGATGTGTTAAATATCATTCAATTTCAACTAGGAGTGCATCAGGTACCTCCTACACAATTTTAATAGGATCAAACACATCAACTTAGACTACAGAAGTATTAGGTTTTACGTATATATCCATACATCAGGCGAGAGACTTCGTTAGTATCTCTTGTTTTTCTTTATTTCCTTTTCGAGCATCTCGAATAAAATTTGAGTTTGCCCGTCGTAACTCATATAAGAAATCTTATCTTTGAATAATATTTTAGTAAGTTTAATCCCAATGATATTTAACAAAAGTTATAAATCAAAAGGAACAATAAGTATTTAAAATATAATTAGTACAAAAAAAAA